GTTTTCCCCTCAGGCTTCATTTACATAAATAGAGTGAACACTAACAAATCACCACGTTACAGGTTACCTGCTAATGAACTGTTTTGTTAAGGACTAACCAATATACAAATGATAATTTTAAAAAGTCACAAGCTTAGGTATTAACCCCTATTTTTAACTATTATACACACAGGAACAGAGGTACAGCCATAGCTACTAAAGATCAAATCCCACAATTTCTTTTTATTTAATGAAATCATAAAATTCTTAATTAGGTAAGAAAGCAAGTTATGGTACTTTGTGAGATGAACTATACTCACCGAATATTTAACTTCTAAGTATTCAGATTTTGCTGGTACATCTGGAATCTCAAAAGCATAATACTTTTCCACTTTCTGTATAAAACAAAGATATGCTATTTTCATTATCTCCCAACTGAATATTCATTCTGTCCAATAAGAGAGAGAAAGAAATAGAGGCCAGCCAAAACATACATTTCAAAATCATGGGCTTGATCATGTATCACCAATTCTGCAACTCATCATAACCAGCTGATGATCACAAGAACGTTTTAGTGCCTGTACTTATCTCTAGGTTTTCTTAGCATGAAGAGTTTCTACAGAATTGACCTACAAGTTATACTAACCATTACAAAACAAAAAACATAATAGCTAAGGAAACTCAAACATTCTGTAAATTTACAGGTTTCATACATACTCATGTGAAATGGTGGCTACAGACCACCCCAAAAATCACAAAATGGCAGAGATGCAAAGGGATCTCCAGAGATTTGTCTAGTCCAGCTGCCTGCTCAGAGCTGGGTCAATTACAGCAGGGTGCTCAGAGATTTCTCCTGCCAGCTTTTGAATATCCCCAAGGATGGAGACTCCAGAACCTCTCTCAGCAACCTGTGCCAGTGCTTGGTCTCCCTTACAGTAAAGCAGTGGTTTATGTTCTGATAAATTTCACGTGTTTCAAATGGTACTTACTGCTCTTGTCCTCCATTGGACGCCAACAAGAAGTCTGCCAGAGTCATCTTTGTTCATGCCCATTAAATGTTTATAAATAATGACAACATTTGCACCACCAATCCCTCACCCTGTACCATCTCTCCTCCAGGCTGATCAGTCCCAGGTCTCTCAGTCTCTCACATGATAGATGCTCCAGGCCCTGTAATTATCTTTGTGGTCCTGTTCTGGACTTGTTCCACTACACACAGGTATTTCTCACATCAGGGAGCTCAGCTGAACACAGCACTCCACAAATGCTCACCAAGGCTGCAAGAGGGGAAAGGAACAACTCCCTGACACTTGCTAGCAGTGCTCTGTCTCACACAGCCCATAGTGCTCATGGCCGTCTTTGCTGCACAGGTACATTGTTGGCTCCTGTTGAATCTCATGTCTACCAAGATGATCAGATCCTTCCCTGCTAAACTGCCTTCCAGTTAGCCACCCACCATCTACTGATATCTGAGGTTATTCCAGTTCTGGTATGGGACTATTTCCCTTTTTCTGAACTTCTTTGCTTCAGGCTTTCCTTCTGGTCTCTTGAGTCTGGGATTGCTAAAGGTTCAACTGAGTAGTAAAGACTAAAATGAAGATGACGCTGAGTATCTCGAGCCTTTTCCATGACCTGTGTCACCACATCTCCCATCCCTTTCAGCAGCAGACACATATTTTTCTCCCAGTTCGCTTGTACCTGAGAAGCCTTTCCTACTGCTCTTTGTCTCCCTCACCAGATTCAACCCCACATGGGCTTTAACTTTCTTTTTTCACAATGATGTCACTCCCATTAGTCCATCCTCTAATCCTGACCAGCTCTTTGCCCACCTTCAGGCAGGTCTCTGTGCATTCCCATTGCTCTGACAGGCAAGAGAGACTCCCCCTCCTCACCATTCCAGCCTTTCTTAACCACATCCTATACCACCACATGTCTGGAATCCCAATCAAATTGCATCCCTGTAACTGCACACAGCTCCTCCTTTTACACTGCATGCTTTCGTGCACCAGCACTTCAAAGAGGAACCCGAGAGAGCTAATTTCCCAGCAATCTGCCAGTTGCTTACTTTACTACAAGCTTAGAGCAGAATAATTTCTGTCACACCATTTTTGATTTTAAGTGACTTGGGTTTTGCTAGAAAGAGGTCAAGTTTGTTTACGTGTCTCTAACAAAATTAAGCAGCCTCAAGTTCAGCACAACTTTACTGGATAGTATCACTTCTGCTTTCTTCAAGAATAATGATTTTCACACAACACACACAGCCTGTCAGTTTCTAAGAATAACTACCTTCATGTTCCCAAGAATTGCAATAACCTGTGCAGCAATGCTGTGGCACCTGCTGAAATGCCATGCTCTGCCCCATAATACTCCACAAACCATCTGCACCACTGTTACATGTTATTACTGTTATTGTGTAATGCCATAACTATGCTAGAACATTAAGGGAACTCTAGGAATTCTTGATGTAAATTCAAAAAAAAAAAAAATCACATTTTTCACTGGACAGTGCACTAAGTTCAGCACATTATACACAGACTCAGCATAATACATCACTACAGAAAATTTAATAAGAAAAAATCATCCCAAATGGGAATAAAATTTCCAAATTAACAAATACACGCACAGTTAGGGAGACCTGAAGTCTTTGTCTTTGGGGCTGGGTGGTTGTAGCTTTTGCCTTAAATTAATAGCATCAGCAATTGCTCCCTCAGAGCACCACAATGAGCAGTGAAGTTGTGACTTCATATACCACTGCAGCTGTAGTGCTGCAAAGCCTGGGCAGGAGAGGAGAGGGCCCTCTGCTATAAATAGGGAGCAGGCAAATCCAGAAACTACTACAGCATCAACAGTTACATGGAAGCAGAAGAGTGGAATATAACTTGGTACAAAAGCACCACTATTAAGCCAGATCAGCATTGCAAATTAGCATGCAAATGTAGCTCTGAACTGTTGAGCCGAAGCAGCACCTCACGCGAGCAGATCAGAGCTGGAACATAATAGATGGCAACGCACTGCTTTTAGCAGATATTATTGGTGCCTCTCCCCTCCCCTTTTTTTAATGTAAAAAACCCAACTCTCAGGCTTCAAACAAGTTCTTGTTGCAAACGCAAGCTGAACATGGTGTAAAAATAGTCTGCTGCAGTGATTCATCTGCCTTATTCCACAGAGCTCAGCTCAATTACAGGAGCGTCTGGTCATAACTGCAGTGAATGAATGCTTTGCTGCAGAGTAATCTGCCCTTCAAGTGGCCCTTCAGAGAGCAGAAATGAGCAGCAGTGATTAGCTGCTAAGTTCCTAAGTGGAGTAAGGCTGCTTTCAAATTGATTTGTGAAGACTTGCTAACTTGGCAGCAGTGCAACCCATTGAAGCTACAATTAGCAGCAGGTGCAGGAGGAAATGATATGGCTTAAGTGTATCTGTTCGCAGGGACAAAGTTGGGTGCTGGCAAGGCCAAGATGCACACACACATGTGCAGGGAACAACTTGTCTCAGGGTACAAATACTGGATCTCTCCACATCACAAAATGGGGTAATCTAAACAGAGCAACTCTGGGTACATGGTAGGTATGCCAGGAACCTTTCTGATTGGAATGATGGAAGAAGACTAACTCCTCAGTTCCACAATATTATGTAAAAACAGATTTTGCATTACTCTGAATGCATTGCTCTCCTCACCTGAGCAACAGTGCCATTAGCTTTTTTTAAATCTTTCAAAACACCAACCCTGAACAACACAGTAATGAATCACTGGCTGCACATGGCAGAGCAGGGGAGTTCTTCCTAAGCATATTAGCTCTTAATCACATACACTCAACTGTGTAGAGATCACTTTCTTAAGCATTCACTTAGCTGAATGCCACAAACCATTTCAATCTGAGAGCCTTGCATACTTTTATGGAAACACAAATGCAAGGACTGTGTAACAAAACAACACATCATCTCTGGTCATATGACTGCAATGAAAGGGAAGATGATGACTCCTTATGAAAAGCAGATTAATTAAGTACCTCAGAAAATAAGGGTACAGGAATGGGACAGCCCCACTACTATCACAATTATCCTAAGACAGCACAAAGCCTTCTTGCTGCAGAGACGTAAGCCTGGCTAGATTTGGTGCCACTTGTTCACAGTCAATTTTGTGTAATCTGGAATATCTGAGTTGCTGTAATACTTTCCTTGAATAATCCTCCAAAGATCTCACCAACAGCCCTGCTCTAAAATACTAACTTTTCTTTGATACCTCATATTATTAGTGCCATGCACCCCTACTATCTCCAGTTCTCATTAAACCCTTCCAGAAGGCACTATCAAAATTAGCAGAAAAATACACAAGTAAAATGAAGCTAGATAGCTTTTACCCTCTTAGTATAATTCAGCTTACTGAAGAGTCTGAAGAATTCAAGCATAATTTGAATTCTTTCTGTTGAGAAACAGCTCTGGTAAGTTATTTCAAAGCTTCTCTGCACCAACTGCCCTGCCTAATTTATTCAGGAATTAAAATTTACTAATTTGTTCTTTTACTAAAACTGTAATTTAAATAGCTTTCTTGCTGCTCATCCCCTTTTAATATTTTTAGAGAACAAACAGGTCTTATCATTATTCTTCACTTTATCAGCTAAAAAAAAGTTTAAGCTCTCGCACAGTTATCTCTGGTATAAATGATTCTCCTTTTGTCTCATCCTTCTAATTATCATCTTTTGTACCTGTTGTCGCTGGAGTTAATCCTTCCTCAGGAGGGTGACCAAGTGTTACAATATTTGAGGTACCATCTGAACAGTGTCTTAGTGCTCCTACTTCCCTATTCCTGCTAGGGATGACTCCTGTGTGACACCAAGGAGTGACCCTGGATGCACTGTAGTCATGTATCCAGACAAGACTGTTGGGGATTTCCCCTCTAAGCTGTGTAAGATCAGTAAAAATAATCTAGAACAAAAAAAAGTTTTACAAAGCACTTATGCCACATGCATTTTCTCCTGAATTCTGTAAATAATGCAGTAAGCTACAAATTGCCGAAAAGGTGTCAGGCCTTGCATGAATTTGCCATTTGACAAACACTGCTCACATTTTCACTTTAACAACTTAACACTTTCAGAATGACTCTAGCTTTGGATTAGATGACCTCCTGAAAGTCTTTCCAACCGGAATTACCATACGAACTTGGTTTCGTTTTCTCTCATTTACATACAGTTTAATTCCATTCCTTCTGTATTTTTGCTTGCCATCTCCTTTCTGATCAACTACTCAGGAACGAATCCTGCTATGTCACAAGACTGCCAGGCTGGGAAAAGTTACAACAAATGAAAATCAGCTTTGCCAGACATGTTACTTCAAGAAACAGAGTTTCTGAGCACTTCACTCAGAACAGATGTTTTCTCCTAACTTACATGTTAGCCACCTTTCCCCACACAAAATTCCCACCTCTGCCCTCCCCCTCAAAAGACAAATGCTCTCTGTAAATGGACAATAAAGCTTCCTTACACTAGCAAACTAATTCAGTCTAAACTGCAACACAATCAGCAGCAGCAGCTCTTTTCCTGCACTTGCAATACTATGTTCATGTATGTGCAACTTTTCCATTATAGCAACGTGTTGTTTTTCCAATGTCATTTTAAGGATTTGTTGAGCAAACAGAGCACAGCAAAATAACACTGCTAAGACAACTGCCCATAACAGCTTAACTTTCAAGACTCAATGACTGTCCTTGCAACTTGTTACCTCCTGCACAGCCACACTATGACAATCCATGCACTCTAAAAATACACATCTGCAAGGCTAAGAAGGACAAGACATGCCTAGAGATAAAGTTCAGTAAGATATCTGGTCAAATGCAAAGGCAGACTAATCTCAGTGTACTGACCTACCTGCTAGACAACACAACCTTTCATTTCCAGCTCTGACAACACAAGCTGATACGCAGGCTTCAGGTATTGGAACTTCTACCTGTTCTCCATTCTCAAAAACACCTCAGCAAGACAGTCTGACATTCACATCAGTTTTAAAGCTAATGAATGAGTATTTTCAAAAGCATTATGTTTAAACTTCTGATAGAACAATCCTGTTGCAGATTTACCATTCTTAAAGGCATATTGATATTTGGGAAGACACTGGGATGGGATGGCTTTACAAGCAGGCACACTTACACACATCAAGTGCTATTTATCTGCATTTCAACATAACCTCCCTCAGACTTACCACCTTACAAACCAGAATGAAAGAAGATTACTAAATAGGATGCTTGTAAACAAACCTTGGATTTGAACTTCATTATCTTATACTTTGGTGAAATGCTGTCATTAAACTCCTTGAAAACACTCATTATAGTCACCGGAGTCTCCGTCTCTTTGCCAGTAGACAAGTCCATTTCCTCAAAAACAGAAGTCAGGTTTTACAAATTAACAAAAAATGCCAGCTGACATGACCAACAATTTGAATTCCGCTTTGCTGTTATGAATCATGCACCTCTCTTTAAGGGAGAACTACAATGCTATCAACCAAGAAAGCACAAATTTAGACAATGAAACTGAATGTTTAAAAAACACTAGGTTTTCTAATAATATTTCAAGACAACTTTATTTGCTAAACAGCAAGTCTAAAGGTAACAATTTGTCTGCAGTTGTAAGTTAGGGAAGCCACGATGCTCTACTTTGCATCTCACATTGTTTTTACCTCTACTACCTACATCAGACAACACTGGATTCAACAGCTCCCATAAAAACACTGCTAGAACTCACAACCTGCCATGAGCAGAATGAAAAGTACTTATGTTTGACGTGCTTAAAAGTCGTACTTATGTTTGACATGCTTAAAAGTCATACTTACTGTTTCACGCGGCAGTAGATAAACAGTTCTCTCAATATTTTTCACTGTCACACAACAGCTGACATAGGTGTTTGCAGAGTCAATCCAAACTTTGCCAAACAAAAATACCACACCTAAGGAAGAAGGACAAAGAATTCAATATGTAATTCGTAAAATAGTAATTCTTAATGTTGCTTAAAGCAGCTTATAATGTATTTCTGCATAGAAACAGAACCATATCTGGTTCCTGAACAACAAATGTTTCCGATGTATCAGCACATTTCATCAGCTTTACAAATAGGCATCTGTATCATTCTTCAGGCCTCTACCTCCATCACTATAGTAACACCTGGAGTGTAAAACTCAAAATGGCATCACACAGCCAGTCTCAAAATTCTGTTCCATTTCTACCTGCATTAGTTTGATAATCCATAGGGAGAGGGAGGAAGGAGAGAGATGTTGGTGAAAGCTGAAGATTATCAGCATGTCTGTGCTGTCAATCACTCCTGAAACACGTTATCTACAATTTTTCATTCTGCAGCTAGATCAGTACAATCAACTCCTTTTCCCTTACTTCAGTACCACGAGATCAAGACTGTACTACCAATAAAACCTGTTCAAATACATGTTGAAGACAACAACCAGAAGCTGATCAACTATAGAAAGTTTTCAAGTGACTATTTTTAACAAATGAGGACACCAAAAGATGTAAGACATTGCACCAAACCCTGGATGCTAAGACAGCAGTTGTAACCAAGGGAGACACACAGAAAGCCTACAAAGAGCAGGACTAGCAGCAGCTAACTGCACTTTGGACCATGTCATTATTGCACATGCACATCTCTGAGCCCAGAGACCTTGGCATTAGCACAAAATGCTACAAACCACTAATCAAGTGATGTTAAACTTTAAAATAACATCGAACAAAGCCACAAAGCCACCTGACTTTCACACAGTTTTGGAATTAGAAGTACAAAAAACTTTCAAGTACAACATGGAAACCAGGCTTCACCAGAGTTCCCTGCAAACTCCAAGTAATTTGGAATTTGATTACATGAAAGACACTCTTCCTACAGTACACTACTATTGATGAAACCAGAAATATCAACACCAAGACTATCTCAGAAACAGTGTTTCATGCATAGAAGCTTTTGGAACATGCATTTCTCCCTGGCCTGACAATGCAAAAACAAGTCCTTGGTTAAGAGCTACAATTTATTTTTGCCATGAGATCTATCAGACATAAAGGCACCTTTCTTACTCCGTTAGATCAAAGATAAATCAGTGAAGATGCACTAAGACGGATGACAGAGTTACAGTGACAGGCTATGAAAAATCACTTTCTGAGTGCTTGGAATAGATGTGAACAAGACTACTTTGTCAAGGACAGAGAATGCTGCAGTTTCGAAGATGATGAGAGCAAGGAAGCAAGTTTCGACTGCACAAAGTATCTTAAGAAATTTTAATACAGAGGCAATCTTGAAGATTTAGACAGTCTGAATAAAAGTATCTAGAAAGAGCTCAAATTGCAGATCTAAGTGACAGGAAAGATTAAGTTCTTATCCCCAAAAATCTCTTTTTTTTTTTTTAAGCGATAAAAACCTCAGGTTTGTATCATACAAAATAAGCGATAAAAAAACCTCAGGTTTGTATCATACAAAAAGATGAAACTATGAGAGAGGCCACAAAACAGTAGCTGGTTGCTTGAACAGCTGCCAATATTAAGAGCATGGAGTAGTTAACCTGTCAGAGAGATACATATAAGCAGGTGAGGTAGAAAGAAGGATACATGAGCCAGTCAAAGGCAGGGTAAAAGGCTGCCTGGATTGCAAAGACAAACTTCAATCAACTCTAACATGAACAAATAAGTGGTCTTAATACCCAGATTTCACAGAATCAGAGTAATTTAGGATGGAAGGAACCTTTTGAGATCACCCAGTTGAACACTGACACACACACCATCACCCCCACACACAATGGGGGTGTAAAAAAAAGCAGGGCTAACATCAAAGAGTTTTCAGAGACATTACACCTGTAAAACCAAGAAAAGAAAGAAGAAATATCAGGCTCCATCCCCTGCAAGTGTGACTAGGGA